AGCGCATCAGCATGCGCTTATGTTTGGGGCGATGGGGGAGGGGCCCCAAAACAATATTTGCACCGGGGCCAATCACAACCTTGTTACGCCACTGGTTGAACATGAAGATTAAAAAATAAACAGAACCTTTATTTTGAAAGTACAAAAGTCTTCTTCTTCTCCCCCTGTGTTCCCAGTGGGTGAGTCACTGGTTGGTTGCCGGTCGTCATGGTAACATCTGAAGGTCGAGCTATGATGATGCCAGTTAGCTCGTTAGCCTCTGAGCTAGCTGCTGCAGCTTCATTAAAACCTGTCTTCTTGTCTGTGTCTCCTGCAGTGAAGCATCATGGGAGGTGGCAGATGGACGAGCCGGCCGTGGGCCAATCAGAGCCTGTGACACACACACACACACACACACACACACACACACACACACACACACACACACACACACACACACACACACACACACACACACACACACACACACACACACACACACACACACACACACACACACACACACACACATCATGACCATGGAACAAGGCTTCAGCTTAAATATGCTGGTGAGTTAATGTGTGTGTGTGTGTGTGTGTGTGTGTGTGTGTGTGTGTGGTGTGAGTGAGTGAGTGAGTGAGTGAGTGAGTGAGTGAGTGAGTGAGTGAGTGAGTGAGTGAGTGAGTGAGTGAGTGAGTGTCTATCTGTGTGTGTGTCCTCTCCTTTATGTCTTTACTCCCCGATCATATATATGTGCTTGAGGTCAGTTTCTCCTCGTCATGCTAATGAGCCGTTAACAAACGCTGCATTCAGGCTCCGGGGGGGGGGAGGGGGTAGTAAATCTCAGCTTCCTGTCTGAGGCTCAGCTGCCAGATGTCCAACCCTCCAATGAGGCGACCGTTATCTTTAATATCCCTCATTGATGATGAGAAGAAAGTCAAATGATATTATATATATATACCATGTGTCCTCAGAGGAAGCTGGCAGCGGACCCGGACTACAGGGACGTGTCCCTCCCGGCGGTGGACCGGGTCCGGCTGCTCAGCAGGATGGGCAGCCGGGTGGAGCTGAGCGAGGACGTGCCCCCCCGACACTACCTGCGTTCCGGGGTGGAGATGGAACGCATGGCGAGTGTCTACCTGCAGGAGGGCCGCCTGGAGAACGCCTACGTGCTCTACAACAAGTTCATCACGTACTATCATTATCATTATTATTATTATTATTATTATTTGTTATATTCAGGCACTGTTCACAGAGGACTTCCTAACGACAGTAATGTTAATCTATACTCCAGTCTGTTTGTGGAGAAGCTGCCTGCGCACAGAGACTACCAGCAGTGCAGCCTGCCGGAGAAGCAGCTCATCATGAAGGTACTTATCTATATTATTATTATTATTATTAAAACCAACAAACATGTAATGAAGCAGATTATTTGTTTAAATTAAAAACATTTATCTTATGTATTTTCATTATTCCAAACCAGAACCACTTTAAATGAGCTTTATAATCAGTGAAAGATCAGTGGGCCTCAGACGGATCCCTGAGGAACGCCTCATGTGATCAACAGTAAACAGAAACTACATCCTGTCTCCATAGAAACTGCAGGAAGTGGCGTTTCCTCGTAAAGACGAGCTGAAGAAACTTCTGCAGGAGAAATACAGCCTCGAGCACAGCGAGTACCTGAGGGCCCAGGTGAGCGTCGGCCAATCAGATTACAGCGTGTTCAGCTACAGGAAATTAATCCATGTGACTTCCTGTCTCTTCAGGCAGCGACAGCAGAGGCAGAGGGGCGTGGCCTGCAGCTGCAACAGCTCTCCTTATTGGGCGATGACAGGGGGCGGGGCCAGGAGGAAAACAGGGGGTGGGGCCTGCAGCTTGTGCGGCCCTCCTCATTGGGCGATGACAGGGGGCGGGGCCTGGAGAAGGACAGGGGGCGCGGACTGCAGCTTGAGCGGCTCTCCTTATTGGATCAGGATA